AAATACAGCTTTCTTAGCTCTACCTATGACTGTAGGAAGGCCTAGGTATTTGTCGTGATGCATAACTCTCCTCATGCCCAGAATTTCACCCATTTCCTCTCTATCCCTTTCTACCATATTTGTGCTAAAAGAGAGTTCAGATTTTGCTAAGCTCACCTGCTGACCCGAAGCTAACTCATATGATTTGAGAAGGTCTCTGAGGGCTTCTCCTTGCTCCTTCTTGTTTTCAAAGAAAAATATGATGTCATCAGCAAAGAATAGGTGAGTAATCATAGGGCCATTACTGCTCACCTTAATACCTCGAAACTTCCTCTCTTCCACAGCTTTTTTTGTCAATGCTGAAAGACCCTCAGCACATAGAAGGAAGAGGTAGGGAGATATGGGGTCCCCTTGCCTCAACCCCCTGGTAGGTTTAAAAGTCTGTGTTTGGTGGCCATTGATCAATGCTGCATAACTAACACTGGTTACACAGCTCATTATCAGTTTCACCCAATCAGCATGGAAACCCAACTTTAGCATTATCCCCTCTAGAAAATTCCATTCCACACGGTCATAAGCTTTGGCTATGTCTAGCTTAGCTGCCACAAAGCCCTTCTTCCCTTGTTTTCTGTTTTTCATTGCATGGAAGCACTCGAATCCAATCATAATATTGTCTGTGATGTTCCTTCCCGGGACAAAAGCACTTTGAGTGTCAATAATGACCTCATCCAGTATTGTCTTAAGTCGATTTGCAATTACCTTAGACAGGATCTTGTACAGGACTTTACATAGTGCTATATGCCTGAATTCCTTAGGGGATGTTGGCTTCTTTGTCTTAGGTATCATCGCTAATAGGGTGTGATTCAAAGTAGGAGGAACCACCACAGTTAGGAGGATTCTTTGGAGTTCTAGACAAACTGTGTTCCCAACCGTGGCCCAGTTTTTTTGAAAAAACAGGGCTGGCATCCCATCCGAGCCAGGTGCTTTGGTTGGTGCCATTTTTGATAATGCATCATATATTTCTTCTCTTGAAAACGGCCTCAGTAGCTCCTGGTTCATTTGAGAAGTAACCTTAGGTTCCACCACTTCCAAAACCTCATTGATGCTAGGTGTTTGCTCAGCAGTGTAGAGTTTGATCAAGTGATCAGTAAAACAAGCCATCACTCCCTCCTGCCCTTTAAATGTCAAGCCATTCTCATCTTGCAACTCCTTAATTGTGTTTCTTCTCCTTCTGTTAGAAGCCTTGCGGTGAAAGAAACCTGTGTTTTTGTCCCCTTCCTTTAACCAGTCTGATCTGGACCTCTGTTTCCACCTGATTTCTTCCAGATCTAGCACCTCATTTAGCTCCCTTTCCAAAGCCCTTCGTTGTAGTAGTACAACCTTGTTCTTTTTTGCTTTGGATAGTTTTGCTAAGGCTCGCTCTATCTTCTTCTTTCTCACTCTCAGACTGCCAAAAGTTCTCTTTCCCCATTCAAGTAATGCTTTCTCGCTGTTCTTGATCTTATCCTCCAAAGGTAAGTCTGGATTCTTTTTCCATTCAGTCTCAATAACAGATCCACGTTCCTCATGCTTTTGCCAATAGGCCTCAAATTTAAAATGCCACCCCCACTTGATCTGCTCCTCTTGTAGATTGAGTTCAATTTTAATGGGGATGTGATCTGAGGTCCATCTGTCTAAATGAATAACACGTGCCTCAGGAAACACAGTCCTCCACTCCATGTTAGCCACAACTCTGTCTAGTCTTTGCTCTAGGAAGTCTTCATCTGTTTTGCCATTGTCCCAAGTAAACATATTTCCATAATACCCCATATCTTCCAAGTGACACTCATCTAAAGTGGCTTGGAAATCCTCCATATTTTGGATGTCAGGAGGGTTTCTTCTATTCTTCTCTTCTTCTCTTCATAGCTTAGGACCTGATTGAAGTCCCCACACAGAATCCATGGCAGATTGGACTGGCCATGAAGTCTTCTTATTAGTTCCCAAGTTTTGGGTTTATTCTCCTGTTCTGGCCAACCATATATCCCAGTTAATCGCCATTTATTATCCTCTGACCCCTCTGTAACCACTACATCGATATAATTCTGTGTACCAGCCTTCACCTCAATTACCATCTCTTCTTTCCACATCATGATTAGCCCTCCTGCTCTGTTTCTTGATCCAACCCCTCTGCCTTTTGACCATCCCAATTTCTGTATAGTTTCTTCCCATTCATGCTCTTTCTTCTTTGTTTCCATGAGAAACACTATGCTGGGGTCCTGTTCTGTTAGTAGCTGAGCTACTCGAGCAACTGTCGTGGTTTTCCCCAGCCCACGACAGTTGTAGCTTATAATGCTCATTGAGTTGGGCGGCCCTGTTCCTTGACAGGGTCCGCCTCTCCGCCATCCATGTTCATTTTTAGTTCAGAAGGGATCAGAGTCTCACCCTCTTCAAAGTTGAGTACCCTAGCTTTCTTTTTCTGGTTTTGAATATCTTTTTCTCTAACTTCAGCCTAAGTACAGTCTTCTTCCATCCTCTTCTGTGGGGTAATTTGAGTCTTAACTGTGTGTCTTGGCACAGTTTGCCTTGACGTCTCCACACTCTATTGGTATTCTTTCTACTAGGCCAGGTGTTGTTTGTACCCATGACAAACTGATGCAGGGCACCTCCACTCACCATCTTTCTCATCGAGGGCTTATAGGTATCTTCCCCTTTCCTCTAGTTCTGGGACTGCCCTCCCACTGTCTCTGGGGTCTGCATATCCTCTGTAGGTTGCACAGGATCCCTGAGACCCTCTCCCTTCGCTTTCTCTGTGATACAGCCTTGAGTGTTTCCTTTTATACCTTCGCTCGAGGTCTCCTGTTTCTTCTGATGAGTTGTTTCATTGACAATTTCCATCTCAGACGTGTTTCTAACAAGATTAGGTTCTGCCAGTTCTTCAGAGGGTGCTCTGTCACCACAGGAGTTAGAACTAACACTCTCCATGTCAAATTTTTTTCGCAGGAACGCCCACGCCTCAGCATCCTCCTTCTTTGAGGTATAGGACAACCAGTTCCGAGGTCCTGGGGGACTGGTTCTCAAGTCTGAGCCAAAAGGATCAGGAACCAGACCATATGGTTTAGGGCATCTCAATTTTGGGTGTCCAATACGCCCACATGAATAACAAAACATTGGCAACTTTTCATACTTCACCAGGTAATCCACCAACTTTCCACCTATATTCAGTTTTATCTTTTTATTCAAGGGGTTGTTGATGGATATGCTCACTCGCATTCTCATGTATGTATCCCACATAGTACCTGAACTGTTGTCGAACCAGACTAGGGATCCAAATCGATTTGCTATCTTTTCCGCCATAGTCTGAGTTCTCAATTCCGCTGGGAACTCTTTGATCTGGATCCAAATATCGATCATATGTAATGCCTCAGGAGTAGGTTTCTTAATGAGTAAACTCGATATGAAGACCATAACATTGTTTTCATAATGCCAGGGGCCCCCGAAGCAGACTTTGTTTTTGTCATCAAGGTCCAAGAACTGGAAGGAATATAACATATCCCCCAGGTCAGTGATCTGAAACCCTTTTTTCAGATTCCAAGCCTTCGTCAAAGCTATTTTCAGTGACTTGATGTTAGGTTGCTTGTCAGACATCAATCGACCAATCAATCCCAGTTGTCTAACAGCCTCCATCCTGACAAGGTCCACATCGCCATCTTCTACATCCAGAGGAGTATCATCCTCATCCTCCAAGGTGATTTTATCCAGGTCCCGTTCCAGACTCTCAGCTGTGCTACGCAGCTCCATGGGCTCCAAGTTGGATCCCTCTCCTCCAACTCCAGCAGGATCCTTCGCCTCCATCGTTTGCTTAGTACGCAAGTAGTCAATCTGAAAGTTACCAGAGTACCAAAAGCCCCAATATTAGGGTTTAGATTCGCACCACTTATGTAACGCACTCAACTTAGCTCCACCAGGTCGTCTTTATATAGATGTAATCAGCGCCACAGTTGTAATCCAACTTTGCTATCAAAACTCGTTTCCGATTGGAAACAAGTAAACCTTTATTCAACTGGAAATCAAGCTCACGCTCGCCTCGGAAAACCTAAAGAAACCCTAGGTTCCGCCGCTCCATGGGTACCCGCCCACACATATAATTACTTTCCCGGTATATTTGATATTCTAAATAATATATCTTCTTTAAACAACTAATATTATTTATGTTTGTGGAGACATGTATAATTTGTTCTTTCTAATTGTTTAGAATGAAGTTGATATTATGGAGTGGAGAGTGAAGAAACTTATTTGACGAGGAAGAAGATTTCAATTAATCTTCTTGTTTATAGATGTTTATCTTTAATTTTGAACAATTTGCATTGATCATTTGCGGTTTGCTTTTATGTTCTAGATTGGTGTTTTTTGTATGAATAATTTGTATGAGAAAATTGATGTTAAATTTTTATTTTGAAAGAAGTTTGTTATTGTAAGTTTTTTACCACAAAAACCCACGGGTACCCATGAACCCGCGGATACTCAGCGGGTTGAGTTTGAGTTTTTCAAACCCAGCGGGTTTTACTCCTAGTTTTTTTGGCGGATAAACCCATGAGTTTGGGTTTGACAAAACCTGCCTAACCCGATCCATTGCATCTCTAGTCATGAAGGAGTCTGAAACATCAACGTTCCCAACGAAAACGAAAACGAAAACGAAGCTGGATATGGATTGACCTGCAAATTGCAATGTCCCAATAGAACAAAAGGCTAAGTTAGGTTTGTACGAGAATCTTTCGGAGCTAGTAGTAATTATTATGTTTGCGGGGAATCCTTGTAATGAATTCCAAAATGTTCAACCGCGATAAATATGATCGCTCAGGCTATCCATAGGTCATGATAATAGTTCATGGCATTATTTTCATCATGACCTCCTCCTTCCAAAAAGAGCTGTTTGACCTGACCTTTCTCTCCTTCCTACTGTACGAACCCATCAGTTTCTTTGTACAACTGAATTTCACCCCTACAACTGACGGGTAATATCCAATGTGTATACGCTGCAACCCATATAATTCCCAAACCCTGTCTTCTTCTCCATTCTTTTCTTCCCATGCTCTGTTTTTACCACCACTAGAGACAACCCTCCAAAAGGAAGAAGAAAACAGGCAAGGAAGGATGTTTAGCCAGACGCCTTCCTTCATCAAGGTCTTGGTTGGGTGTTTCTCCATGAAGCTGGTAAATATTCTCTCTTCCACTTCTCATCATTTCAATCGCTCCTCGTCTTCTAACTCACCATTCCCCTGCTCTGTCTTCTCTCTCTGTTTCGCGGCAGAGGATTCCAGATTCATTCATCGACGCGTTCGGCCAAGATCTGGACGGCAAAGTGACCTTGAAGCCCAATGCAGGGACTCCTGCGGTTGTCTCCGTGGAGTGGGGAAGCAGGGGATGTTTCTTCGGAACTGGATGGCCGTCGTTTCTCCAGGAGAATGGTCTCCACGAAGGCGACTACCTGGTTTTCAACTTCACTGGCAGCGAAACCAGTCGATGTCGTCATTTACGACCCGACTGGCTGCGTCAAGAGAAATTCTAGAGTTCAGACCAGCGAGCCTTGTCCAAGTTCTGCGAGGAATCGCGAAACAGAGCCATCCCCTGAAAACCCCAGAAACGGTATCTCTCAGCTCTGTTTCTCTCTCTCTCTCTCTCTCTCTCTCTCTCTCTAGTCGGCCTTTTTTTCTTACATCAAAGCAATTTTGAAAAAGCATTAGTATGTCTTCTGGTTTTGGTTCAGGAATGGGGAAAGAGGGGAGAAGAGAAGCTAAAACCCGTGGGTCTTGCCGCATGCCAGAAAGGAATCTCAGAACAGAGCAACTCCCCCAAACCAGAAAACGTATAGCCCCCTGTTTCTTACTCATCTTCACCTTATTACGTGTGAATCAATGAAATCTATCTTATGGTGTTGGTTTAGGAATGGCGAAAGGTTCAGAGTTGAACCCACAAGAAGCTCCAATCAAGACAGAGCCAGAAGAAGGGTATTTTTCTGGCGATGCTTCTCAAGGTTTGGATGTTTGCTTCCGAGTAGTTTACAAGAAGTACATGGAATTCAATGTGGTATTGTACAATTTCACCCCACTCTCTTTCATTCCATTTCGTATACAAAAAAAACCCCACACTGCTGCAGTCTTTTGGACTCATAAAAACCCTGTCTTTTCTTTTCTATTTGTTTGTTTTGTTACAATGGGAAGTGCATCCCACTGAGATTTTGTACAATCGCTCGGCTGGATATGAAGGACAGTGTTCAACTTCAGGATCCAAGCGGCAGAGTTTGGCCAGTTTCACTAATAGCAGGAGGAGGCAGGAGGGGATCAAGCAAACGATTCGGTAGTGGCTGGCCTGCCTTTGCTGCTGCTAATGCCGTGGCGTTTGGAGACAGAATCGATTTCCATTACAAGCCTGAACTGGGTGTCTTCCAGGTAAAGATACACAAGCCAAACCGTAATACTTGCAACAATTCTGATTCTGGGAAGCGGCAATGGAAGAGATCTGATGGTGGAAATTCTGAAAGGAGCAAGCTTTGGGAAAGTTATGGATGGAACTCCGAAACAGAGAAATTGCCCAAACCCAGAAAAGGTAGAAAGACCTCTGTTTCTTCTCACACTCTGCCCTCTCTCTGTTTCTTCTGACACAGCAGAATTTTTGCTTAAGCTGGTCTTTGATTTCGTGAATGTTCAAAACAGTTTTACAGAGGAAACGAGGAGCTCCAACTAAGACACAGTTCAGAAAAGGTCATTCTTCTGGCAACAACGCTTCTCCAGGTTTGGCTGATTCCTACCAAGCCGTTTACAAGAAGCACATGAAACGCTCTAATTACATGGTATAGGTTCATTTCCGTCCACTCGATCATCTTTCAGTTTCAATCATCAAACCTTGACTTTACTTCCATTCTCTTTTGGGCCGATGTGAAGTGCATGCCGGTGAGATTTTCTGAAGCCACGAAGCTGTCACAGAGGGAAACTGCTCAACTTGAGGACCCAAGAGGGAAAGTGTGGACGGTTTCTGTAATCTCAGTAGGGAATGGCAGGCAGAGACGGTTCAGTCGTGGCTGGCAGGCCTTGGCCGCAGCTAATGGCTTGGCTGTTGGAGACGGAATCGAGTTCACTTACAAGCCTGATTTGGATTTGATCCAGGTCAAGATACATAAACGAGGGTGCAATGCTGGAAACGATTCTGAAACCTGAAGTTGGGGAGGAAGAGGTAATGGAAGAGAAGTGGGCAAGTGGTGTGGTAAAGCTTTTAGATTGAAAAGAGGTAGCGCCTAGGGCTAGGAATTGCAGTCTTTTTTACTGGTAGGGGTTTCAGTTTGTCATTAAGGTAAAGAACAGCATGATGAAATTGCAGATGGGGTTTCAGTTTGTCATTTCACTTTGTTTGATTTCAGACCCTCAGTAATGGAAGTTACTTCCCCTTGGTAAAATGTGGTGGTGGTAAAAAGTGAGGTTAAAAGTTCAAAGTTTTGACATCTCAAAATGGCTACAATACAAGTAATGAATAGCTCATAGTGAGAAGGGTTTCAAGAATTCACAGCCCAGACCCAGAGTATTAAAACCGAAACTTGCAGGACTAAAAGACAGCACCCACTCCCAAGCTTCCTTAGCGGACTAGTACGTACTAGCACTATGGAATCAAACAGAGAGATAAAGGTTACCAATGCTCAACCTCGCAGAGCTAGAGCTCTACCTTTGAGTTAGTATGCTTTCATTGTCGTCATGGTATTGTAGATTTGTAGTATACGTTGTTATTGATGACTGAATCTGTCTTATGTACTGTTTTCTTTCTATATGAAAAACAGTGCCTAATAGAAGCGTGAGTTGCTTGTGCTGTCAATGACGGCCGGATAAGTTAGAGCCGTATATAGTAATGCTAAAATGAGACATTCATATAATGTTGACATATTGATGTAGATAAACATGGAATGCTCAGATGGTACTTGGCACAAATTACTCAGCATGCGAACATACTTCTAATCAGTGCCGACGATCGTCGACTCTTGATTCTAGTGCTTTATGTCAATGGGAGGAATTGCTGTTTTTGTTCTTACGCTGGGGTATCCATCATCTACTCGAAGCTCTATTTTGAGTTAGTAACACCTATTATGATTGTTTGTATGCACTCGTGATTGTCAAGATGTTGTGATGTATGTTGTCATCTGATAGCAGAATTTATCGGATGTAACGTTTCTCTCTTTAGAAACAAACAGATGCCTAATAAAGTATGAGTTGCTTATGTTATCAAGTAAAAGGATAAGTTTGAAGATGTGCTTAAAAGAATCATTTATGTAATGTTTTTGTATAGATAAAGATTGAATGATCCGTTTTTGACTCTTTTTAGCTCAAACTAATGGTTCCTTTCTGGTGTAATTGTGCAGACTCGCTACTAGCTTGGGTTAAAGTTTGTTCCTTTAGGTTTCAGTTTGGCCATTAATGCAAGGCTTATAATGATGAAAATTGCTGTTGGAAAGAAGTGAAAGCTCATTTCACTTTGTTTAATCTCAGACCCAAACAATTGAAGTTACTCTGCCAAAGTGACAGTAAGTAAAGCCTAAAATGGGATGGTGGTAAAAAGAGAGAGTAAACTTACTTCCCAAAATGGCTAGAATATAAGTTAAGATAGCTCATGTTAAGGAAGAGCAAAAGTAAGGACTAAGGCTGACTCCAATGGAGTCGCCATTTAAGCCCAAATCGCTATTAATGGCGAAAATCGCCATTTGGGTCTCCATATTTGACGAAGGGAATGCCGATCCCTGCATTTTTGGCGATCGGGAGGGGTGGTGGCGGGTACAACCGCCAGCCCGAGCGGTGCGCCGCACGCCTGCGGAAGAGCTGCTCTCCCGCGCGCGTGCGGCACACCACCCGGGCTGGCGGTTGTGCCCGCCACAATTTCTTTTTTTTTTGTTTAATTAAAGGTTAAGAGTTTAATTAGTGCTTTAATGATGAAAAATTAGGGAATCACCTTTAGATTTATCATTTTTAAGTATTGTGTGTAAAGAAAAATTAGGTCAATTATTTTTTATAAAAAATAATTCTGTGCCGAAATTTATAAAAATTCTATCGGAAAATTTGTATTTAAAAATAATGATGATCTATATTAAAATTAACATGAATAAATTTGATTAAGATGATCATAAGTACATTTTTAAGTAAAGAACTACTAGAAAAAATGAAAATCCCCAAATTTGGAGATGGTAGCATTGGAACAAAATGGGAAGAATCTCCAAATTTAGGGATGAAGATCCCCAAATTTGGGGGCTAGCATTGGACTTGGCCTAAGGAGCTTTGCCCCATCTTCTTCAAAGTATTAAAGGCAAAAAATATCATCAGTGGAGTTGTCCTTGAACATGAAAGGAAGCTGTTTTGGTGTTTAGATCCTTTGTTTTAGTGCTCAATTAATTTAACACAAAACAACACTGACATGGTACAACACTACTTGGTAAATTTCACATAGTACAACACTAGTAGAATACACAAACAAAAGCATCTACTAATGGATAACTTGACACATCAGAGAGTACAATCTACAACGTTCCATGTTAAACGACGCACATTCATTCAAACCGCTAATATTGCTCGCGATGATGACGAGGATGTGTCGTTAGCCGGTGCAGTATTGCAAGCTGATCTTCTCCCTCGCTCCCTCCTGCTATTTTCAGCAAACTTCAAGCTAGCCTGATGAAGCCCTCTCTCCTTCTCCTGTGAGCTCCATTCAGCCATATAGTAATCCTCTTCGGTGGCAGACGAGGATGAAGATGAGGATGGGTTGCTTCGACCGGACGAAAACATACCACCCCACTGCGGGAAGTTGATCAAACATAGAGGGAGAGTGCAACAAATGATCATTATTCCCATGTATGTGATTCCAGTCTCCTTGGAATATTTTGACCCTTTGAAGAATGCCAGTTGAGTTATCACCGCTCCCACGTTCCCTCCTCCTCCCGTCATGCCCGAGATTAACCCTAACGACCTACATACATATGTGTAGTTAGTAAAATACGACACAAATATATGTTACGGTATTAATGTGTAACGATATATCTTCTACCTTTTGGAGACAAAGGGTACGACTCCAAAGGTTAGGCCACAAGCAGCTTGGCAGAAGAATGAGAAGAGGATCATGACAACAATGGAGCCTCCCAATGAATTGACCCGACCCAAAATTACACAAAGAACGCCGCCTAAAGTCTGAACGAGCCATAGAGTCCACAGCCTTCCCCTCATCCCAAACCTCTTCGCCACCTCATCGGACAACCGCCCTCCCCCTGGCCGGGAAATTAAATTCGCCAATCCAAAGCTCGCCGCAATCATTCCGGCGGTCTGGAGGTCCAAGTTGAATCGGTCGTAGAAATACTCGGCAATCACATTATCCACCGTCAATTCCACCCCGAAGCAGTACCCATAAGTCAGAGCCAGAATCCATCCCCTGTAATTCCTAACTCCATGGAACAGGATTTGGGGGATTTCGTCCCCTGAATTCTCCACCCGCCGGAAATTCCCATCGGGCAAGTCCTGGCCAAAGATCAAGACGGCGAAGGCCGTCAGCATCTGGAACAGACCAGGGACATAGAAAGCGATCCTCCAGGCGGTGAATTTGGCCGCCCCCGTGGAGCGGCGGATTAGGGTTACGGCGAAGGGCATGACGAGCTGGGTGGCTCCGCCGCCGAGGTTCCCCCACCCGGCGGCGACCCCGTTGGCGGTCCCGACGACCAGAGAAGAGAACATGGAGCTCATCCAGTACTGGGTGGAGACGAAAGTGGCGAGGGAGCAGCCGGTGAGGAACCTGACGAGGACGAACGAAACAGGGGAGGAAACCGTGGGAGTGAAGAACACCGCCGGAGCTGTGATCAGGACGAGGGAAGCGGAGGCGAGCCGGGGCCCCACCGTGTCGCAGGCGGCACCCATTGCGATGCGAGCGACGACGGCGCCGGTGACGGAGGCGATGCCGGCGTACCCGATTTCGTCGGCGGTGAGGTTGAGATTGTCACGGATGATTGGGAGTAAAGGAGGCGCGGCGAAAGTGGAGACGAAGCAGGCGAAGAATGAGAGCCAGGAGAGATGGAAGGCCCGCATGTGTGGTGCGGAGAAATTGTAGAGTGGGAATTTCGTGGCCTTGTGCTCTGTGTCCACCGGGAGGGCGAATTTGGGATGCTGCTTTCCATGGTTTCGGTTTCCATTTTCATGGGTTGTTGCTGCTGAATTGGGTTCCATTTCCATTGCTGCTGCTGTGGAAGGAATTGGGTTTTCCATGTTTCAAAGGGTAAAGCTAAATCACAGCGAAGTCTTGGAGGTTTCAGAGAGTAGAGACTGACACTTACCGCCGAGTATGAGTTTCAAGTGCTGAAATCTGGGCAAATGATTCTCTTTGATGCCCAAGCGGTTGTTAATGTTCTGATTCTTATGCGTGTAGTGCTTTTATCCTCTGTATATGTTGTCATTGGATAGGAGAACTTGTCTTGTGTATTTAGGAGGGACAATAATATTATGATAAATGCGGGAGATGTTTGTTGCTGTCAATGGCGGCCGTATAACTTCAAACTTATATACAATTTTGCTAAAAAGAGACATGGATTTAATGTTCACATATGTTGTGGATAAATATGGAATAATCGGATGTCATCTGGTTCTAGTGCTTTCTGTCAACGCAAGGAATTGTAGTTTTGTAAGTCTCCTGGCAGCAGTTGGGAGTATCATCATCTCTTGAGAGCTATAATTTTGAAATTAGTACAGTTGCTATGATTGTCTGTATGCTCTCATGGTTGTCATGATGTTGTCATTTGATAGCAGAACTCGTCTGATGTACTGTTTTCTCTCTTTAAAAACAAAGGCGGCGCCTAATAAAAGCATGAGTTGCTTATGTTGTCAATGGCGGCGAAAAGATAAATTTGAACCACATATATACATATGCTTTAAAGTTGTTAATTTAATGCACATGTTGTAGATAAAACTTGAATCACCATATGCTATTTAGCTCAAACAAATGGCTCCATCAAATAGAGCCAGACATTATATGGACTTGTTCAATCGCTTATCAACAAAACAAGCAACTCAGGTTATTATCCTGGTTAGAAGTACGTTCCCCTGTTATGCAATGTGATCTTAATTAGAATGCAAACCAATCGAAATAACTTAACTTGAGCACAAGATTAAACCGCTAGAAGACCAACTTGTAGGCCTATGTGTCCCAAGCAGTTCATCAAATACACCCTTAAGACAGAGTAATCCGAACCAGTCTCGGGTTTTGACGGGGTCCGACATGCACATGGAACTCAAAGCTGTGAGCAGGACTATGATATGAGTATGAGTGCTTTGGTGGCAGAGGTTTCAGTTTCAGTCATTATCATGGTGAAATTGCAGTTGGGAAGAAGAAAAGCACATTTGTCATTTCACTTTGTATCATTTCGGACTCATAGTATGTGAAGTTACTGCCCCTTGAGTCGGCGCAAACTTATTATGATTGTTTGTGTGCTTTCATAGTCGTTATGATATTGTAGTATATGTTGTCATCTGATAGTAGAATTTCGTCTGATGTATTGTTTTATTTCCATAGGAAGTAAATCGGTGCCTGATAAAAGCAAGAGCCGTTTGTGCTGTCAATGGCGGTCGGATAAGTTAGAGCTATATATATAGTTATTCTGAAAAAGACATTAATTTATTGTTTCAGTAGATAAACATTGAATGACAGGGTGGTACTTAGCACAAATGACTCAGCATGCGGACATACTTCTAATCAGTGTCGACCTCTTGATTCTAGTGCTCTCTATCAATGTGA